ACAACAATCTAATGTCCATGGAGTAACAGTGTCCATGAGGTTAAGACATGTACTGTATGAACCAGGGAAACCGTGTGTGTTGGGGTAACCTAAGTTGGACACGTTTGGCTGGGGTTTGGGTCACTTTGGTTCCTTGGGATGCCTCCCTCCCGGTCTGGCGCATAACGAAGCCACTTCTTGACAGTTTCGCTGTAGTCCTTGTCAGTTAGCTTTGAGTCAAACTGCCGAGCAGCAGCTGAAAGACACAAAAATAAGAGTGAGGAAGATAGAGTGTATATTTGATAAAATTTCATATTACCCCCTCCCCCTCCTTTTTAAATTTTTTTTTGAGGAGCGCCATCTCCTCTTATGTCCAGCCTTTGGTGTGCATGCACAAACTGTCCCACACACTCACACTGAAAATGAATAGACAAATTTGAGTGTTTGTATTAACAAACATTGATACCGGTGAAGACGTAAAATGTGATTAGCCTAAATGAGATGATGATGTGAACACCACTCACTTGACACGGGTGTGATTTTTTGTTAAAACCTAGTCAACATCTAATTAGACTGAACTGGAAAGAGGAGCAAATGCCTAGTTTGACTCCATCTAGACAACGTATAAATGCACCTATAAAGCTCACCAATAATATTGTCATTTGTTTATTTCTTCTAACTTGCACTTTCACAATTGCTTTATTAAAAAATTTTTTTTTTTCTGCATTTCCTATAGGAGGCATGAAAGACCTGGGGCCTCATGTATCAACAGTGCGTACGCACAAAAAGCTTGCGTACGTCATTTTCCATGCAAAACTCGGGATGTATCAAAACTAAAATGAACGTGGAAATGTGTGCAGCCCCACGCCAACTCCAGGGCTGGAGTACACATGTTTCTGTGGGTTTGGTTCCATTGGAGTCACTTAGAGGTGATTTTGGGAAACTGTTAATGATGTGAAAATGATTATTGTTCACATCAGACACACATGATTAACAATTATTACATCCACGTTTACGCAGTTAGATAAAGGCCACGCAAAGTTGTGCCAAAACTACCTTTAACAGGAACAGATTCAGCCTTACTGGAGGATATACTAAACAGTGTAACACACAGAGTGTGTATTTATACACAGAGAGGATTTTATGATTTATGATGACGACTGCATCAGACGTTTGCAGCTTGGCACTGTGGCGCGTTGTCCTGTGCTGAGCCTGCAGCAGGGGCTTCCAGAGGGAGCTGACAGACTGATCGGGACTGTGCCYGTCCAGTCTGTCCACACATGACTTGGCTCAGGGTGTATTGTGCCGGTCCAGTCCACCCTGAGCCGTGTCATGCACAATGGACCAGCCTCATTCATATGATTATTTAAATCGCCAACACCATAAGTCATTAAAACTCTCCACTGAGGAGCAGAGACTCGTTTCTTCATATCAWCTTCATTTCATATTAAATAAACAAAAATCTATGTTCTACCAAACATCTGAGTTCCTCTGTGTTTACAGTAGACAGTATTAAACTCGTGAGAAGTTAATATTTCCAAAGTGGAGGGCTGTGCGCATCACAGTGCTGTGAAGCGCAGACACACACACACACACACACAAAATCACTCATTCTTC